AAAAAAAGGTAAAAAGTTGGTAAAGGAATATTATGTAAAGGAAAGGAATGACGCTCCATTTAAAATAATTTAAATAATATTTTAAACTACATTTCTAGTATAGGTGGATTATATGACGAATAAAATTCAATTAAAATTTGGATTTGGATGAATTGAGCAATTGGTTTCATAATCCATCATATGTCACTTTGACTGGTCAGTATAAAATTGTTAGGAAATAGGAAGATGGAAAATTTTGTCTAAAGGGGATGGTACATTTGTTGAACGCAAATAAAAAGGATTAAATTTTCAAGGGGCGGTGGATCATATGATGAAAGAGAACAGATGGGCTCCATCAAAAATGGAAATTGGATTGAGCTTAGTGATAGTTTCAGGAATATTTCTTCACACACTTTTAATAATAACAATAAGGAATGGTAAAAAATATTATCGTTGGAACATTTTGAATGGAATTGAAAATAAATTTTAATAATATAGTTAGATAAAATTTTAGTGAAGACGGATCAAATGATGAAGTTAAGGAATATGCTCAATTAATACAGGCGACTGGGTTGATGTAATCATTTTTCACATGAATACTCAACTTCATCTTAATGTTCATTATTTTATAGGTATCACGGAGTATATGAATTGTAAAAAAGTTGGAGGGTGGCTAGGTCAGTTTGTGGATAATTTATGTGCATTTCTTATCTATTAAAAAGATTTTTAGTGGCTGGGTATGATATGATGAAACATATTCAATTAAATGTAGAAAATGGATTGAGTTGAGTGATGCATTTAGAGAATAGAGCTAATCATTTATGAAGGAAAATGAAGTAATGGATTTAAAGTTGGAAAGTGGGATAGTTGTCATCGGTACAATAGTAGTGAAGCCATTAACAAAATGTAAGGATTATTTTAAAAAGAAGAATTTTATAGGAGGAGGATCTCAATTTTCCAATTATCGTCACTTAAGTCCGCCTATGCACCAACCTTAATGGAGTATCCTAGTACTTTCTCTTAATATTTTCCACCACTAGTAGTGTTTAATAATTTGTTGTAATTTTTAACATCAATTCATCTTCTTGTTCGTGATTCTACTTCCAATAAATAATATTCCCTCAACCGAATTTTTGCCCCGATAAATTCGTCAACAACAATAATTAACAACCTTGCGTTCAATTCAATTCACTTCCCTATTATATTGAATCATCATAATATCAATAGTATCAACTAAAATTTTGATAATAATCGCCTTTAAAAATGATTTACCAATATTTAAAGATTAATCACTCAAGTCAATTCACTTCCAAATCTTAATTTAACCTATTTACTTAAATTATGTAGTCTATTATTACTCATAATTATGTATGGAAAACTAAGAATAATTTCATACTTAATCTAATTTATCGTATCAAATGAATTAAGGAAAAGATTATAATTAATAAAAAATTCATGGAGACATTATTTGAATTCTTTCTTTTGTCAATTCAAAGACAATCTATTTTAAAGTTGCTACTTTTCAAATAGTTTAACCCAGTGTTTTTTAAGAAAAAACAAGAAATGTCTTATCAAATCATAATGATTGATAATTATAAGATGAATATATTAGAATTCTTTTAATTAAATAACTATGATCATTATTTGTAATTAGAAAATTGAAGCATAATCAAATAATTTTGCTCAATAAAATATTTAGCTCTATTAATTGAATATCGAAATATCATTTAATCATTTTTATTCATATTTGTTGACTTTATCTTATGGTTGTGTAGTTCTTGGAATTTTTATTAAATTAATGAAATTATCAGAAAGTTAGAATTTAATTAATCTCATTCAAAATTCAAAGCATAATTTATTCACCTCCCCCTAAAAATTCTTGATGCTAATGGTATGAAAATAACTACTTGATTTATGCACCAAATTTATAAATTAAAGCAATATAGAGAAACCATACTCAGGACTAGTTTATTAAATTAAAAAAAATTAAATATAATATAATCTCAGAATAATGGGAGGAGTAGCATATAGATACTAAAAGATATATGAACATCAGTTTTCATCAAAATATAGTACTGAGCTAATTGCATTTAACAATGAGTTTACTATTCTCATTTTTATTTCAGACCACAAAGTTCTTTTATTGTGCCAATTCAAAAATAATGTCCTTCATATATTATCAAGATATTAAATAAGCAAATATCTTTGGAATATAAGCGGTATAATTAATAATCTGTCAACTCAATCAATATTTTTAAACTCTTAGAATTAATTTTTGTGCAATATGTAGTCAAATTATGGAATTATTTTGATATCTCTAATTAATTCAAACTCATCTAGGTTGTTAAGACTATTTTAAATTGATAATAAAAAATACCAATCAAGAAGTATAAATTGTTATGTAGTGAACAAATATGAAAATCTGTTAGTGCTAGGAATAATTTAGGGTATTGTGCATAATTCATCAACTTTATAATTTTGGAGATTTACCAATTAATGGGAGATGATTCAAGATTTAAAATTTGATTATCCAAAAAGTTGTAGAATAATAAATATTTGTTTTAACTAATTAGAAACATAAATAGCATGTAATTTTTTATACTTGGATATTCTAGTCATATATAAGTATAATTAAATAAATAAATCATGGTTTTTACAATAAATATATTAGATTAGATCTATTATAATGTATTACTTAATTAATGAAACTACGCTTATAATGTCTGAATTAATTCCTAAATATTTTTTTGGGCTTTCTGTAACGGAAGCCATTCGATCCTATTGTCTAAAAAATTAGAATGGTTTACTTGAGGTAAAAACCCAAATTGTTGAATATATCTCGTGTTTATGCTACTGTGACAGAAAATCTCTCCTTGTAGGATGGAATTCACATGGGTTAATATTTTTAAAACTAAAAGATAATGGGGAGATTGTTATTTAATAGAGGTTGCCATTGCCTGAATCATTCAGCTCTATAAGAATCAGTTAAGATTTAAGATATTTAATACTCTTTAACAACGGAAAAATGTCAATTTATATTTTATATTAGCGTTGAATAGCAGATCAATATCTTTCTATCTTTTATTATTGTAATTTTTTTTATAAGCAAAATAAAATATGAATGATTATCATTAATTAGATACTTATTATACTGCAATTAAATCATGACTCACCTTTTTGATTAAAGGGATGCATTCAATGCAATTTTGGAGCAGTATATATATATCCATTAATTTTATGGAATTCAAAATACCAATTTAATTTCAAAAATAATTCATTTTTTTGAATTAAATTCGTTGTTATTATCCATTTTAACTAAATCTAAAATTCATTATCGCTAGTTTGATAAGTTTGAGAAAACTTTATTATTTTTTACAATTTCTTTATTCAAAATTTTTCATCAATAGCTTAAAACATCAAAATGGATCTAATTTATTTTTTTAAATAATATTTTTTATTGTAAATTTAATTTCCTCTGATTCATATTTATTATTTCTAAGAATTTTATTATACGAACTGCCTATTCTAAAGTTAGCTTGATAATTTTTCGATCATCTACACGAATTCTAACTTAATTCAATTTAGTTAATTTAACTGATTCTTATCTTGCCTCTGTTGTTAATATTTCGAAAAATAAATAATTTTAATTATGAGGATTTATTAATTCTTGAAATTGAAATAATGATTATATACCTTTGAGATCTAATATCATTATTCTTATATATGAAAAATATAAATTTAAAGAAGACACCAAAATATATTAGTATTTTTTTCAATTTAGATTAATTAGAAAGTTACATAATTACACATACCCTACAAATTTGAAGAATTTTAGTATGGATTTTATTGAAATTGGTTTTTGATATATTAGCGATTTTTTAAAACTTTTCAGTTCCAAACCAAACACGAATATGGATAATCCGTACATTTGTTAAGTGTTCTTAAGAAACTAATTTATAAATAGGTTTGAATCAGAATCCTAATTAGAAACCAAGTATTCTTATTATAATTAAGGTTTAAAAATTAAAAGTTAAATTAAATACAATTAGCAAACTAAGGTTAATAAGAATTTAAGATAATTCAAGGATCCTGTAACGTAACTTTTAGTTATTGATTATTTTGGAGATTCATTAAGCTTGTTATAAATAGAGCTTTTTCACTATTTATTTGATATTCTGTTTTTGGAAATCCATAATTTTTTGTAATTATCCTTCTTTGTTTGTAAACGATTCTAAAGATTTTTTATGAAATAAGGAGGCAGACCTATAAATAATATAAGTAATTAAATTATTATTGGACTGTGAGATATTACCATATTTAATAAATGAGATTAAAAGTAAAGCCTGTTATTGGTGTCCAGAAAGTCTTGGAATAGTTTTGTTTAATTTTCTTTTTAATTTCAATATAGATATCAATACATTCATAAAAAACTTATCAAATCGTAAATCAAAATTAAAACAGTTAAATACTTAATTTCTTTATTTAGTTTATTTATTCTTTACCAAA